ATTAAGCGTCTAACTTGTAGCAATCACAACTGGTAAAATTTCAAGTTCAGTTTGAGGAATAACAAATTGGGGTCCTCAATTTAAATAAGGGCAAATACATAGACATAAAGGAGGAGTTATATGAAGTGGGCTGGGAAAGTAGATTAAGGGGAAGGTCAGTAGATAAGCAGTAGTAGACATTTACCAATATATTTCATAACAATCAGCAAACATTTATTCCAATCGAAAAGGAAGACACACTGAGAAGGTTGAAACACCTGTGGTTAACAAAGATGGCCGAGGAGAATTTAAAAAAATTAAAGCATACAAAACAGCAAAAATTAGTGGTAGGACTCAGGATTTGGAATTTGTTTCAGGAACCAGTAAAAGATGACTACAAAAGTTAGTACTGAGAGAAAATGGTTTATGAAAGTAAATTGGCAAGAAATATAAAACAAACAGCAAAAGCTTCTACAGGTACACGGAAAGAAATACAGCAGCTAAACTGTATAGGATACTTGAAAGATGCCACTGCGAAATTGATAATGGGCATCAGAGAAATGGCGGATAATTTACAACCAATATTTTGCATGCATCTTCATGGTGGAGGACACTGTAAACATCCCAAAGATATTAATAAGCAAGCTGCTATAGGGAGAAAAGATCATGCAACTGTCTCTATTGTGAGGGACAAAATATGTGACAACCTATTGGGACTGAAAGCAAATTAGTCTGCATGATTCAAAGGTCTGCATCCAAGAGTCTTAAAAGGAAGTGGTTGCAAAGATGTTGGAGACATTGGTTGAAACATTCCACAACTACTGGCTTCTAGTGGACTGGAAAATTACTACTGTGATGCCCCTATTAGAGAAAGGTGGGAGACAGAAAACAGTAACCTATAGGCCAGTTAGGCCAACATCTGATATTGGAAAAATGCTAGAGTCCATTATTAAGGATGAAATAGCAGATCATTTCAAAAAGCTTACTGCAATTAAACACAGCCAACATGGTTTTATGAAATGGAAATCATGTTTGACAAATTTGCTAGAATTCTTTGAAGATATTGCAAGCAGAGTTGATTAAACATTGGGGGGGCGGTGTGGAATGGTAGATTTAGTACAGTTGGATTTTCAAGGCCTTTATTAAAGTGTAGCAAATAAAAAAAGTTATTGCACAAGAAAGGAGCTCTCTGTATTGGAGACAATGTATTAATCACAGATTGAGGATTGGTTAACTCACAGAAGACAGTCAGGATTCATGGGGTTTCTTTTCAGATTGGAAATATATAATTAGTGGAGTGTCCTAAGGGTCCGTCCTTGTGGTTCAATTATTTATTGTCATGGCTTAGAGATGCAGGGCAGAGTGTAATGTGCCTAAATTACTGACAATACAGAAGTAGGTGGAGAGGGGTGCATGTTGTGATGAGGATGTAAGGAATCTGCAAGGGGATATTGATTAGTTGAGTGAGTGGGCAAAAACTTGGCAGTTGAAGCTGAATGTAGGAAAGTGAGAGGCCATGCATTTTGATAAGAAGAATCAAAAGCAAGCTAAATTTAAATGGAGAAAAAAAACCCCAAAGTAAAATGCAGTACTAGGGGATCTGAGTGTTCCTCTGCATGAAACAAAAAATTAGCAAGCACGTGCAGCAAGTAATTAAACAAAACAAATTTTAGCCTTTATTACCAGGTGTTGGAGTGTGAAAATCATTAAGTTTTATTACACCTGTGCAGGTCGTTGATGAGCTGCATCAGGAGTTCTGTGTATGGTTTTAATCTCCATTTTGACGAAAGATTTACTGGCATTGGAGGCAGTTCAAGAAATTTCCAAGGTAGACTCATAATTGGGTTGATATACCAAAAACAGCTAAACTACGGTTAGGTCAAAAATCACAAGACACCAGGTTATAGTCCAACAGGCTTAACTGAAAACATTAGCCTTCACAGCGTTGCTCCTTCATCAGGTTGGACCTTGTCCAACCCAGTCCAACACCACTTCCACATCATGGAAACCAAGGTTAGGGCTTTATTTATTAGCATTTAGAATAATGAGGGGGGTTGATGTTATTGAAACGTACAAGATTCTAAGGGATATTGAGATACGAAGAATTCTGAGACTCAAACACGAAGTCAATTCTACTAACGGCAGAATCTCAAACAAAGGGGCACAGTTACAAAATAATGGGATATTAATTTAAAACTGAGATACAAAGGTGTTTCTCCCTGTGGGCAATGAATGTTGGGTATTTCCTTTCACAGATTTATGAAGGATAGACAACAGGAGTATTTAAAAGATGAGGCAGATAGGTATTTGAAATATCGGGGAGTTGACGGCCATGAGGAACTGGTAAAAAAAAAAAGAGTAGGTGAGACCTGGGCAGATCAGCCATGATCTTATAAAGTGGTGGGGCAAGCTGGAAAGTCCTACTTCCACCCCTATTTCTTGATGCAGATAGATTGGAGTTGCACATAGGGATCCTGCAAATCCCCACCCAGACTCCAAAGGAATTTCTCAGGAAATTAATTAAGCTAATTACTCAGAAAAAGTTAGACTATTAAATACATAGTCTAACTCCCGAATAGCTATTAGACTGTCACCATACCTGCCTCACGCATCCCCAGCTATACTACCAGACCATTTATGACCCCCAGATCTTAAGTTTACACACCGTGACAATGTAACTTGATACCCATGGACTCTCCAGACATTCAGCGCTCTACAGCCAATCCCCGGCCCTCTGCTGCCACTGGATCCTAACCACCCACCCCCTCAATGGGCCCAAACTGGCCCCTAAACACCGCCATGGACCAAAACCCTTCCAGAGATCAAGCAACTGCACCCCAGTCACTCCTAGTCCTGTGTCCCTACCACAACTATGCCTTCTGTCTTGAACCCCAACTGCCTCAAACTTCCTGCAGCAGACACAACTCTGCCCCACATCGCAATCTGCCCAACCATCCCCACTCTCCATCATGGGACCTGACCCCACTTTCGCACCTCTCTCCCACCTTATCTTCTGATCTGACACTCACATTTTCTGCCTCACCCCACACCATTGTCAGTTCTGACTCAACACCCATCACCAGACCAGACCATCCATTCACCTCGCTCGGCCAAACCAGACACAACTCAACCCGAACCCCACCGTGCTGATCCAAATCCCCCAGACCTGACTTAACACCAACCCATCCAATCCAATCCAGCCTCGGCCAGACCAAATTCCTTCCTACCTACCCTCATTTACCTACTCCTCCTTCCAATCTTGCAACTTGTATCCTACCCATTTGGCATCCTACCACCTGGCCCACTATCCGCAGCCCAGTTGACACCCTACCTACCTGGTACCCTACTCGTGACCCATCTAGAACCCTAACAGTGTACCTCCGATATCCATTTACTCTTTGATGGCAGCAGTCAAAGTGACTGCTGTGAAAAGGGTATGTGGAAAATAGGGCTCCTTATATTCTTATTATTTTTAGTTAAATAATCATCCAATGTTCTCTTAAACATTGCTTTGTTGAACCTTCCTCCATCAAAGTTACAGCCAGTACATACCAGATCCAAACCTCAGTGCAGTAAAAAAAATTCTCATGTTACATTTCCTACTTTTGCAAATGACTTTCAATCTCTGCCTTCTCAATCTTGATCCATTTTTGAATGGGAATAGTTTCTCCCTGTCTGTCCCGTTCAGATCTCTCATGATTTTGAACACTCCAATCAAATCTCCCTTTAGTTTTCTTGTTTCAAAAGGAAAAAAACAGTCCCAATTTTTCCAATCTAGTTTCATATAACTGATGATTCTCAAAGCAGAACCATCCTTGTAAACCTCTTCTATACTCTCTCTAATGCATTGAAGTGTAGCACACAGAATGTTACATAATACCCCAATTGAGATCTAACTTGCAATTTAGTATTATACACTTGTACAGAGGTTTAGCAAAACATCCCTGCTCTTATATCTATGCAGCTATGAATAAATCTTTGTAATCTGTATATTAACCACTCTCTCCTGTCCTGTCACCTTTAAAAGGTTTATGCAGATACATCCAGGTCTCTCTGCTCCTGCACCCTCTTTCGACTATTACACTGTATTTTATAGTCTTCCACTCATTCCTATGACAATGATCATTGTGCTTAAGTGTCAAGTGAACTTCATCCAACACCTGTCCACTCACTTCACTAACTTGTCAATGTTCTTTTGAAGACCGACTACTCCTGCTCTACTTTTAAGGTTTCTATGCTTTTTACATTATCCTCACAGTTTATTATGTCTCCAAATGCTGTCAACATTTTTAGATTTTGAAATTGTCCCCGAACTCCAAAATCTAGAACACATCAGAAAAAACAAAAGGTCCCAATATTGACCTTATGGAAACCCAATATAAGCTTTTCAGCCTCAAAAATACTCATTAACCACACTATTTCCTATTCCTCAGCCAATCTTGAATCTGTTTCTCCTGACCCTTTTACTCCATGAGCTATAACCTACTGCTGTTCAACCAGATTACTGAGATTCTGGAATTACATGTAGGCCAGACCAGGCAAGAATAGCAAATTACCTTCCTTAAAAAGGACATTAGTGAACCATACAGTTATTATGACTATCCATGATAATATAATCATGACCATTGCAGAGTCCAGTTTTATACTCCAGATATATTAACTGAATTTAAAATTCAGCAGCTGGGATTTGAATCTATGTCCCCAGAGCATGACAGTTGAATTAGCAGCCCAGTGACATTGCAACTATGCTGTCTTCCCACATTACATTTCTAACTTCCCAGAGTCCACTCAGTCCTCCTGTTTACTCAGTGTGATTCATTCAATGAGTACTCAATATTTTCTACCCATCACCAAGTATCAAATCCACTTTTGAGTATGTGCCCTGAAACCTGCAGCTTTTAGTATAACTAACAGATTTCTTTTGGATAAATAAAGAACTGCTGATGCTGCAAATCTGAAACAACAGAAATTGCTGGAGAAACTCAGTGGGTCTGGCAGCATCTGTGGAAAAAAAAAGATATCTAATGTGCATTACTGATGTACAGGTGTACATCAAAATAGTATACCTGTAATCTGGCCAACTGTGCTGTACGAGCAACAATCTTGTTATAGGGATCAACAATTTTTCCTCTGATCCTGTTGAAAAGAGACCAAAAAAAGCAGAAATAGCCAACAGCCAAATAATCAATTTCAAAAGGAGGTATTGTGCACAACTGAGGATTATAAATTATGAAGTTGATTATATTCTAAGAACACAGGCTTCATTTACTGATTTTTAAAATTCACTTAATCCTCAGGTTTAAAATGTTTTAGCAACATGGTAAGCTTCCACCCTTAATCTAATATTATCTTTATATTCTCGTAAGCCACCACGAATAAATTTTCCCATAGAGTTTTATTTAAGAAAATATACATTATTTGAACATTAATTTTTAAATCTTTGTTATTGCTCATCTCCCATATGTTTTAACCTCATTTTCCAAATGCCTTAACCAACTCATTCCTTATGAACATGTAGTTTGTTTTGTTCAGATTTCAGATTCTAGTATTCAGTCCCAAACATTGATATATCATTCTTTAATATTACGATATTCTCCGACAAAGATACTATTTTACAAAGTTGTAAATTAACCTTCTCTCATTACGCAATACTAGTTTTAAAACAGCCTGTTCCCTAGGTGGTTCCTTCTTCCTTGAAGCCACTTTGTGTACATTACAAACTCCTCATCCATGCTGCTGCTGCAAATCTAGTTATCCAGTTAATAGAAAAATTAATTCCCCCATAATTACTCCATTGTTCCATATTCTTTAATATCGTTAACAAACAAAATGCAATTAAACATCATGCTTATGATTTGTGTAAATCACATGCAAATTATCAGAACACTGCTTTCTATTTTGATCACTTGCCACTTTATAACTTTTGTTATAGTTTCCATTATTGCACTTCCCTCGAACTTAGAATGTTAATGGGTGATCTGATTGAAGTCTTCAAGATATTAACAGGAAAAGACAGGCAAGATAATGATAAATTATTACCACTGCTTAGGGATTTTTGAATTCTACAGCATTGTGTGAGAATTAGAGCCAAACCATTCAGCAGAGATGTTAGGAAGCACTTCTACACACAAAGGGTGATGGATGTTTGGAACTCTCTTCCACAAATGGCATGGATGCTGGATTAATTGTTAATTTTAAATCTGAGATCGTTCTTTTTTTGTTAGGTGATAGTATTAAATGGGATATAGGCCAAAGGTATATGGAATTAGACCAGAGATCAGCCACAATCTCACTGATTAGTGGAACAGGCCTGACATGCTGAATGGCCTATTCCTGTTCCTATGCTCCTATTATAAACTCCTAATGCTATGTTGTCATCACGGACAACTGTACAGTGAACCAGATGCAGTGAGACTTCTGGTATGATTATTTTACAGGCACAATGAGACTTGCGGTAGTGTATTATAGTTAAAATCCAAAACTAGCTCTGTACCTGTCAACAGTGCTCTGAAGCGCAGCAATCCGGGTCTGCATCATCTGAAGGACACCTAAAATATATTACAATCAACTTATTTAACAGCATATAAACAAAGATTTTCATTTTCCTAAAACATTGTTTTAAGTTCTTTTAGACACAGTAACAGAAGTAAATGATTAAACACTTCAAAACATTGCATTGTTCAATTCGATGCAAGACTGAAGTGTCCCTTATGTTTTTTCACCCCCACCTGGAATCATGCCTGATTCTTGAGACCTGCTGAGTATGTTGTCAGCTCATTTTTTGGATTACTAGGTTCCCTACTTCTGTTGTCATTCCAAGATTCTTTTCTTTAGAGAAAGGGACATCCTAAACCTTGGGATCTGCTACTTCGGCAACCTGCACAAGATAAGATGTCTGCCTTAGGGCCAGAGTGCCAGGCAGATCCCAGCAAAAGATGGGGAGGAGGATGGTATGTATTGTTGCCACCACACTTAGTACTTAGGAGTGTTTCAGAACATCAGTAGCTAATGTACAGGAAAAATAATGTTGTGAACTTTAGTTAGAGGCATGCCTGCAGATTTGATCACAATGTTCGAATACATAACTTTTAACCAGGTGACATCACATCATCGTGACCAGTTGGGGTAATGCACTGGAAATCAAGCCCAAATATTGCCAAAGCCATTTCAAAATGTGAATAAATTTAGTCAAAATATCCAAAAACCCAGTTTAGCTGACTGCTTTCTTTTAACCTGAGTTTGTCAGTCACTGGGTCTCTGTACTTAAGAAAGTAACTGCTCATTGTCTTTAACCAATTAGTGAATATGAATTGCAAACATAGCTTCACCACTTAAATGCAACTATTTCTTAAATTCCCACCTTCACAGACAGAAAGACAGACAAGACATGGATGTTAGGAGTGGAAAAAGAAAAGAAAAGGCAAACTGTTCAATTGCCCCACAGGATTTGATGAGTTGTTTTGTTTCAGTTCCTTTGAATTCCTTTTAGTTCTTCAATGAGATGAGGTTGTTTGCATGCCAATGTTGTGTGTTGTTCACTGGTTAAGAATTTTCCCCTTTCAGAGCAAGGTCTCTTAATGCGATTTTCCTTTTCTCCTTTCAACAAGGAAATTTCAGAGAAAGAAGAGTAGGAGCTATTACTAGAGATTTTCTGGGATTTTCACAGAAAGATACCAACACAGTGAGAGATATTCTACAGCTTCACTTTGCAGCTAGATGTTTCTCCTGCCCATAACCTGTGATCACCTGGTCAAAGTTTATGGTTTTAGTCCATAGTCCAAACAAAGGAAATAAAATTATGCAGTCTTTACAATATGGGGCAACACCTTTGAATATGCAATGGCCTAGTGGCATTACTGCTAGATTATTAATCCAGAGACAATGTTCTTGGGACCTGGGTTCTGGAATTAAGAGTCTAATGATGACCATTAGACTCTTATCAGAAAGACCCAGTTGGTTAATTTAATGGGCTTTAAAGGAAGGAAACAGCTATCCTTACGTAGTCTGGCCAATGTGTATCTCCAGACCCACAACAATGCTGTTGATTCTTAATTGCTCACTGAAACAGCCGAGTAAACCATTCAGTTGTATCCGCTGCTAGAAAGGAGGAAAGAAATTAAAATGGACAGACCATCATACGCTGACATAGGCACCAGATACAATAAAGGACAAAAAAGGCCCTGCAAAGTTCTCTTTACAAACATCTGGGGGCTAGTGTCAAAATTGTCAGAATTTTCTCACAGACTAATCAAGCAGCAGTCTGACCTAGTTAGAATCATACCTCACAATGTCCCATCATCATCCTTGGAGGTGTCTTGGCCCAGCAGAACCAGCAGCACAGTGGTACAGTGAGGACCGAGTTGTCCTGGGAGTCCTCAACAATCGGTAACCGGACATCATAAAGTCTCATGGTATAAGATCAAACATGGGCAAAGAAACCTCCTGCTGACTGTCACATACTACCCTCCCACAGCTGATAAATCAATACTCCGTGTGCAGCCACACTTGAAGGAAGCACTAAGGATGCCAAGGACGAAGAATGTACTCTGGGTGGGGAATCTCAAATGTTCACCACCAAGAATGACTCTGCAGCAGTACCATTGATCCATCCGGTATACTACTATAGGACACTGCTGCTAGACTGGGTCTGCAGCAGGTAGTGAGGAAATGAAGAAAAGGGAATTACATATTTGACCTCATCTTCACCTATTTGTCTGCCACAGATGCATCAGTAGATGTCAGTATCAGTAAGAGCGACCACTGCACAATCTTCATGGTGACAACGTCCTGCCTTCACATTCATTATATCTTTTATCACGTTCTGTGGAGCTGACTGTTTTAGATTTTGAACAGATCTAGCAACTCAAGACTTGGGTCCCAATCATCACATGGATGCCAGTCTTTAGCCAATTTGATTCACTCCACATAATGTCAAGAAGTGGTTGGAGACACTGGATACTGCAAAAGCTATGATAAAATTCCAGCAATAGTACTGAAGACATGCTCCAAAGCCTACTGTATCCCCAGGCCAAGCTGTTCAAGCACAGCTACAATACTGGCATCTACCTGACAACTTCGAAAATTGAATCAGAGATAGTAGGAACTGCAGATGCTGGAGAATCCGAGACAACAAGGTGCAGGGCTGGATGAACACAGCAGGCCAAGCAGCATCATAGGAGCAGAGGCGCTGACGTTTCGGGCCTAGACCCTTCATCAGAAAAGGGGGAGGGGAAGGGGGTTCTGAAATAAATAGGGAGAGAGTGGGAGGCGGATAGAAGAGGGATAGAGGAGAGGATAGGTGGAGAGGAAACAAACAGGTCGAAGAGGCGGGGATGGGGCCAGGAAAGGTGAGTGTAGGTAGGGAGTTAGGAAGGGGATAGGTCAGTCCAGGGAGGACGGACAGGTCAAGGGGGTGGGATGAGGTTGGTCGGTAGGAGATGGAGGTGCGGCTTGGGGTGGGAGGAGGGGATAGGTGGGAGGAAGAACAGGTTAGGGAGGCAGGGACGAGTTGGACTGGTTTTGGGATGCGGTGGGGGGAGGGGAGATTTTGAAACTTGTGAAATCCACATTGATACCATTGGGCTGCAGGGTTCCCAAGCGGAATACGAGTTGCTGTTCCTGCAACCTTCGGGT